AGTTGTATGAGCCCCTAATAAAACGATTAAAAAAATTCCTTGTTATAGTCTTGTCTGGTTTTGATATCAAGGGTTATGTTGTTATTGCTATTACATCAATTCAACTTATGTAACTATACAGAATGAAATTGCTTTTAAAAATAATTTTAATATCCCTAAAATAACATAGGTAACTAAGCAATAACCACTATTTTTTATAAGGCTTGCAGAAGGCTAATTTATAACTGGAAAGAGCTGTGAATGAAATATCACGATCAATTTGAGCCATTAAGCTGCGGATAGTGGATTTTGGAGACCTTCAAAATTGATTGATAAATTTCATGCTTATAATTTACAATTTTCCTTTTTAATTACCAGATCCCAGAAGCTTATTGATATTCTCTGCTGTGTAAATATCTCTTGAGTAGTGCAGTATTGCTTGTAGGCTAAAAACCCAACATTGGGAAGAACAGTGAGCAAGCTAAAGAAACTATGTAGCAAAAGTTATCTTTGCTTAGAAAGAAAATAAACAGTACAATCAAGTTTTCACTATATATATTGAAATCTGAGGCTTGAATTTCAAACTTATTAGAAGGCAACAGTTACCTTTTCAGTGTTAAAAGGGGCCTTGATTTCAACTCTTATTTAGTAGAAGTCAATCAGAGATGAGGGACCCACCTTAGGCCAACCAACTTGGTCAATGATAACCAGGGCTACAACCTAACTATATTCCAATTCCATCTATTTTCTTTTATACCATCCAACCAGCTTGTGTTCAAAAGGAAATTTTAATTGATTAATGACATTTTAGTAATAACTAGATTTAAAACTTTAAAAAGACTAGTTTTAGGTAAAATATTTTAAAATCTATATGACTATTATTTTGATGTCATGTATTGATGGTGCTATCGAGTGGGTTTTTGACTCATGTTCTATAACGATAGAACAGAACTGCCACAAATAGCTAGGTGTTTCTCGTGTGGAGCTGCCAGGTAGGTTTGAACTATCAGTCTTTAGGTTTACAGAGATCTGTGTAACTGTTTGCCACCAGGACTCCTTGGTATATATAAGTTTGGCCTAATTTTATAAGAAACTTATAGTAATGAAAATAGAACTAGAGGTAAGTAACAACCTATTTCCTCATTTGAAAGCTTCAGAGAGATTCTTACATTGTTTATCTCATGAACATTTTATTGGTTTATTTTTTCCTTTGTGTTCTTCCTTATTTCCTAGTCAATATCCATGATATAAAAACTTTCACTCTGGTCAATTTCAAGCTACAGCATGATGCCATTAAAAGCAAAGTGGGGAAAAAGATCCATAGTAGCACATTGCTATCTAGTATTTCCATTATACAGATACAATAGGCATAAATAATCTTAAGAGCTTCCAAAAAAACCAAGCTCACTGCCATTAAGTCAATGTTGATTCATAGTGACTCCCTTTGGGTTTCTGAGACTGTAACTGTTTACTGAAGTAGAAAGCCCAGTCTTTCTCCCATGGAGCTGCTGGTGGTTTTGAACTGCTACCATGCAGATTGTAGCCCAATGCATAACCACTACACCACCAGGGCTCCCTCAAGAATTTAGATATTTGTAAAATGCTTAAAGTATGATGGTTTTAATTTTTGGTATTTGAGACTCTCTTAGTAGTGCAAATGGTTTGAGCTTGACTATTTGCTAAGGGTGTGCGTTTGAACCCTCCAACTGTTTCATGGATGAAAGATGTGGCATCTGCCCCCAGGAAGATTTACAGCCTTGGAAACTCTATGAAGCATGCTTACTCATCACAGCATTACTCTTACCTCACATGTTGGTATTATTTAAAGCCAGATATTTGTTAATGCTCAAGATAGCCAATAGTAGATTTTTTTTTCATAACAGTTTTATTGGCATATAATTTATTGGCATGCAATTCCATGTTTTAAATATATTGAAACCGGTTATGCAGTCATCACCGCAATCAATTTTAAAACATTTTCTTCAGTCTTGTACCATTATTGGCTCATTACTCTCCAACCTTCCCTGCCATAACCCTAACCAAAGCCAAACTCACTGCCATTGAGTCAATTCCGACTCATCGTGCCATAGCGTTTCCAAGACCATAACTCTTTATGGGAGTAGAAAGCCTTATCTTTCTCTTGCGGAGCGGCTGGTGGTTTCAAACTGGCTTTATGGTTAGGGCAACATGTAACCATGATGACACCAGGCCTCCTGCCACAACCCCAAGGAACTATTATTCTAGTTACTATTCTATGGATTACCTATCTTGGATTTCATGTAAAGAAAATACAAAAAACTCCCAATAACTACAAAACAAAACATAGAAAAGCCTCAATCCAAAAAAAAGCACAATAGAAACTAGAACAAATTATAAATGGGTCAAAAGGGAAAACACTATAATATGTTAGTTTTTAGCTTAACTCTATCTCCAATAATCCACTTTATAGTGCACCCTGAACAGGGCAAGACTATTCACATCCTTACTCAATGGTTTGAGGGAGTTCAGTGAAAGCTTAATGTGTAAGGATTCTGCACATGGATTTTGGGTTTTTACTGTCATCATAGCCTGCAAACTGGGTGCTCAGAATTTAAGTGTTAGTACAATTCCCTCTTCTGATTTTGGATTTTATTATTTACAATCTTTGGATCATACCAGCTGGTGTGCTTCTGTGTGAATTTTGCTGACACCTCACATAGATGGCTGCTTGTTTTGAGAAGCCTTTAAGACCCAGGGTGCTGTTCTTATAGCAGGGCACCATCTGATTTCTTATCTCCAGTGATCACTTCCTGTGAGCAGGGGTATGTTGTAAGGACTAAAATTAAATTAGGGTTTATGAATTAGTGTGAGCTCAAAAGCCATTTATGTGTATCTAAAGTTTATATATTTCTGGTCCACTTTAGAGGCAGCATTATCAGCTTGTTGAGAAATTCTTTAACCTCCACGAAATATTTGGTAATTCTAGATAGTAGATTTTTTTACTATTGTAAATGCAGTGTGTCAGTCTGGGTAAACTAGAGAAATCCATAGACAGACAGACACACACACACACACACATATATGAAAGAACTTTATGTACAAGAGAAGTTGAATATTGAGAAAACATCCCAGCCCAGTTCAGATCAAGTCCAGTTCAGATATTAGCCCATATGTCAAATACCAATCTATAAAGACCTCCTCAGACTCATGAAACACATGTAAGGAAGATCACAGGCCAGTGGGTAGAGTCTTGTGGATCCAGTGGCGTAAGCATCTCAGCGCTGGCAGGGCTCTTCACATGGCTTCTCCGGCTGTGAGGTTCTTGTGCAGTGTTTCTCAACCTGTGGGTCGCGACCCCTTTTGGAGCCAAATGAGCCTTTCACAGGGGTCGCCTAAGACCATCGGAAAACAAATATTTCACAATATGTAATTACATATTGTTTTATGATTAATCATTATACCTTTTATTTAATTATGTTCAATTTGTAACAATGAAAAATATCAAGAAAAAAAAAAGAAAAATATCCTGCATATTAGATATTTACATTAAGATTCATAGCAGTAGCAAAATTACAGTTATGAAGTAGCAACGAAAATAATTTTTTGGTTGGGGTCACCACAACATGAGGAACTATATTAAAGGGTCGTGGCATTAGGAAGGTTGAGAACCACTACTCTAGCGTAGTTCCATGTATCTTGTCAGTAGAATGTCTCTCAGGGAGTGAGCAGAGAGAGAGAATGTCTCCAGCCTCCAAGGAGAAAATACAGGAGTTCCCCGAATCCTCAGGAGAAGGCCACGCCCACACAGAGACCTCATTGGCTATGACACGATTGACAGACTAGAGTCCATCCCTTCACTCTTAATCCTCTCAAATTGACAATTATGTAATTACCACATGCAGAATGTCAGATTACAAGATAAGTCAATAAATGAGTAGGCATAATTTATTAATAGTACTATACCAGAGATAACATTGAATATTCATATATATGTTGCAACTTTGTGTTTACATACATATTTTTCCATACCCAGTGCTATTTTGTGTTTAACAAATCATTACTTATTATTACAAGTATTACAGAAATATGTAAAGTAGAAATCATCCCCACCAGTTATTCTTTGTATACCATCATTTGTAGTAACTGCATATAATCCAAATAATGATTTTTACACATACATTTTCAGTCCATTTCAGTTTTCTCCATCCTTGGTGGCTTGTAGCAGTTCTGCCTCCTACCCTTTCCCTGTCTTCCTTTAGAAGCAACCCTAGATCAAGGTCCTCTGCTGGCACCCAGGTTCAACATGCTGTGATTCTTCGGACTGCTATCCCTGTACTTTTGATAGTTTGTTTTCTTATATAATTTTTGACTCTAAGCCCTTAAATTTTGGATTCCAGCTCTTTTAGTTAATGAGATTAATAGTGAGTACTTATAAAAATCAATTTGTGTTTTACTTGAATCCATATCCTGCTAGAAGTAGAAAAATACTGCCTGTGAGAGTCCCACCCCTAGCGTATTGAGAAAATAAGAGCGGCTACTTAATTATCTTAATTTGAGCTCAAAAGTTCAGCATGACACATAAAGAAATAACGACTATATTATTTCAAAAACTTAATTGCTTTTTGGTTTTGTTTTTACTAGAATACAGAGACTGAATGGTGCGATGTATATGCTTTTTTATTTCCACATTTTAAAATGACTATACTTGTATATCTCATTTATTATTTAAGCCCTTAAGACATAAAAGGAAAGTAAAGAATTTTTAAAAAGAAAAGAAAGAATAGTCAAAATATTATTAATTCAGCGCTTGGCTCACAAAATAATGATTTGTGCTGATCTTCAGTTCCAGAAAGCTGATTCTGATCTGGACTGCATTCTGTACAGGCTGGAATATGAAATCAAGAACAGTTATCCTGATTCAACTGGTGAGGTAATCTGCAACACAAATATGTCTTTTTTAACTGTCTATTTTAGAGTAAGATTTTCTGATGGTATTCTAATAGGATTATATATACAGCAAACAATTTTATTATTAAGTACTAATTTATAAAATCTTACTTGTGTTAGAAACTTGGTCACAACATGCTGGAAATAATATATTCATTCTCAGGGAGAATTGTGGGTGCTTTTTTTTAGCCTTAATATAAGAATCAGTGGTCCAGAGATACAAACCACTCTGAAAGTCGTGATGGCATAATGGCAACGCACTCAGCTAGAGATCAGAAAGCTTGAGTCCACCAGCTGCTCCACAGGAGGAAGATGTGGTGGTCTGCTTCTGTAAAGATAACAGCCTTGGCAACCTGACGGGGCAGTTTTGCTCTGTCCTTACCATTTAGAATACTAATGTTTATTTGCTGGCAAAGAATGTTTTATAATTTTAAAAAGTTCCATAAAATTGACAAAAAATAAGAGTTGTATGAGCCCCCAATAAAATGATTTAAAAAAAAAGAAATTGACAAAAAAATTAGATGGGATGAATTACGTATTACTTGTAAAGTAACATTTTATGTGAGATTAGAGAATATTCAGTTTTTACTATTTATTTTATAGAATATTAAAATTCTTTGAGAGTTCAGTTTAAATTGTTTTTAGTTCATTATTTTCCACAGTGGGTGATATAGCCCCTGGGGTGTTCTGGAATGATCTAGGGGAGGCTGCAAAGCCAGATACTTACACATTATCCTGGATTATGGGCCCTAATACAAAAGTTTTTAATTCCCAGGGGCACTGAGTTACTTTTTTTCTGCAAAGGGGACAGTCGGCCCAATCGATTGAGCACCTATGGGTCTATCTAGTTCCCTAACTGCCTTGACATTTCCTTGTCTTTCTCCTTTTCTCCCTAAAGAGCAACTAACCAATTCTGGTCCAGTGATACCCCTAACAGCTGGCCACAGGACTCCTCTGAGTCACTGTCTCTCAAGCACTTTGTGGAAGACCTATGGTCCTTCCACTTTTTCTTCCATCTCTTGTAGTTGTTCCACCTACTGTTATTTTTATTTTCTACAATTTAAAAAACAAAACATTACTATATAATTTGCATTCCTTGAAATATTTACTCTCTTTAATAACTTTTTAAGTACCTCTAACATTCATCCAATAACTTCAAAATAATCACCTTTTGGTTGTCAACCTTTGAGAGCAAAGCCATTATCTTTGGGAACAAAACCCTGATTTTAATCTTTGTAGATTTCCCCAGCATTAGTCCTAATGATCAAACACTCTGTGTATCAAGGAACTAGAAGTAAACAATGAGTTGCATTAACCATTAATAACCCTAGACATTCATTGGACATTATTTTATATGCCAAGCACTGTAATGTGTGTGTGTTCTCAATACACAAACAGACATATAATTTTATTTAGCTTTATTCTTGTTCGAGCACCATTTGTGATCTAGAGCCTGTCAAAGATTTGGGCATAAAATGCAACCTTTTTGATTAGGATATCTATAAATATAAGAATAAAATAATCTACAAGTTCTTATTACTATGTTTTTTGTTTCAGAAAGATAATTTCATGAGCATTTTTACTCTCAGGAGTTCAAGTGATAGCCTATTTCCTTTTCAGTGTAGCTTTTTTTTTTCCTTTTCCCTCATCACCAGCACTATCATTAGCAGAACATTTTTTACATATTCTCAAGACTGTTTATAACTCACATACGATAAGTCAGCATTGGGCAGTTAATCGCAAGGTCAGCATACAAATCTATCAACTGCTCCCCAGGAGAAATTTGAGGCTACCCGTAAAGATTTGTAGTCTTGGATACCCTGTATAAGATCACTCTGAACTGGAATTGACTTCATGGCAGTGATTTGGCTTTTTTGGGGGAATGATAAATCAAATCCTAAAATGCTATAGGCACAAAATTAATTAATGTATATCACAATTTACAAATACCAATAAAAGAATACAGTGGCTCCCATGGAACTAGTCATTCAAACAAATTAGTAGTGTTCAAGGTTGTGTTTGTAAGAGTTGTTTTCTTCTATGATGTGATACTACACACAAAGTTAACCTCTCTGAGGTTAAGGAGCCTCTGCCTTACCACAATGTTGTAATATTTGGACATTTGTAATATAATCATCATCCTTGTTATTGTTAGGTGCTTTTGCGTTCATTCCGACTCATAGGGACCCTGTGTACAACAGAAAACATTGCCCGGTCCTGTGCCAGCTTCACAATTGTTCTTATGTGTGAGTCCATCGGTGCAGCTACTTTGTCAATCCATCTCGTAGAAAGTCTTCCTCTTTTTTGCTGCCCCTCCACTTTACCAAGCTTGATGTTCTTCTCCAGGGACCGTTCTCTCTCTCTCTCTCTTTAATCGTTTTATTAGGGGCTCATACAACTCTTATCACAATCCATACATACATCAATGTGTAAAGCACATTTGTACATTCATTGCCCTCATCATTCTCAAAACATTTCCTCTCTACTTAAGCCCCTGGCATCATATCCTCATTTTTCCCCTCA